CACACACACACACACACACACACACACACACACCGTTAGGCAAGTCCCATTGAGATCTCTTTTTCAAGGAGGCCTGGGCCTGAAGGCAACCCATTGTACATGTTTTTGGGGGTGGGGGACACCAGAGAACCCGGAGAAAACCCACTCAAGCCCGAGGAGAACATGCAAACTCCACACAGAAAGACCCCAGGTCTGAACCGGGGATCAAACCCAGAACCTTCTTGCTGTGAGGCGTCGGTGCTATCCACTGAGCCATCGTCAAGCCGTATATATGTACTTTTTGTTTTTATCTAAGTGTACAAATCCATTACAACAAAAGTGCATCTATTATTGAACAGTTTATTTACTGTATTTAGAGTATTTTCCTCTGTGAATTTTTTCTATTCAGTGAAGCTTCGATGACCAGGGCTCCTTGTACTGCCTTTCATTGGTTTGTTCACATCATTAGACACGTCAGATCTATTTTGAGTTTAGCAGTGCTTTATTTGTGTCTCACTTTTGCTCCCTGTGCTTATCATTGTGGAGCCCATATGTATAAAAGAGACAAATGTTTTTTTAGTGGGTGAAATAAATAGGTCTGCATGTTGTGTCTAACTGGGTGAAAATTCTCTGATAAAAGGGTGGCCATTTTAATAAATGGGTTCAAGGAACTTAGCATTTGGTTCAAACAACTGGGTTTAGTGTTTTAGCAACTGAAAAACTGTAAAATGTCCTTAACTCTTCTTGTAGCTGCTCTCAAAACGGTTTTCTTTTCTGGGTGCATCTTTTCTTTTTTGGGTGAATGGGTGAAGTGTAAAGCTCTATATAAATTCAAGCCATTTACCGTTTTCTCACCAAAAGGAGGGCGTTAGTGAATTTTTTGCAATAACTCACATTTCCTTAGTAGCTCTAAAGGAAAACATTTCCAAGCATTGTGAGCAATGCTGGTTAATTTGTGTCCAACAAATGTAAACCCTAATCCTACTCTGACATTTTATACCAACATATATAATATTATTATTACGCTAACCGGATTATGGTGGGTCGACCATATGTTTTCACATCATTAGTCTGCTTTCCAACACCATGGAGTAAACTTTCCCATAAAGGCTGAGAAGTGAGATTCTTTCATAGCTGGAACACTCTGGTCCCCCTAACTACTACCCTGGTCCTCCACGCAACACTGAAGATACGTGTCAACCATAAGAGCCCCACATCTTCAGCATCTGAGGGGAAATCTCATGGCACCCTGCCACAGGGGACCTTTTTTAATACTTTACTATGGTAATGGACTTCCCAGAAGACCTCAGACTCTGCCTTCTTAAAGGTGGGCATTGGTGGTCAGATTCAGGAGAACCTAAAATTGTTCTAACACTCAACAATATCCCATCAAACCAAGCACAACCTGAGATGAAGCCTACTTTCTCAGGCCAACTGAAAGTCCTTCTCTGTGGCATCTTGCTTCATTTTTTGCATCCGCAACAACAGACATCACAGTGCTACAGACAGATCACTCTGTGCCTGTCGACTGTCAGGAGTCCTATGACAGTCAAATTCTAAATGTCTCATTCTCCATATTGATGGCCTCCAACACTGCTGGTGTTCATTGGTTGCCGTTGTTACAGGCAGTGACCCTCAGGCCACAGTTCTTCATAACCTCAGCGTTTCATTTCTCTCTTTCTAAAGCTAACGGCTCACAAAGCTCAAAGTTAACTTTCTGAGAGTCTGCACAAAGCCCACTGTCTGGAATACCCCCTGGTACCATCCAGATGGATACAAAATGATTGTGATAAGTTTTCTGGTCAGGACAGAGACATGCTTGCACTTTAATAAGAAGCTAACAAACTGTCTGTTTCAAAATAAACAACAATACAATCAGGAATCTGTGAGAACAATGGAACAACAAATGCATGAAGTGGAGAAAGAATGAAAACCAAAAACCACTCACCTCAGAGCCCTGTAATTTGAAAACAATGAGTTGAACCTGAGAGAGAGCCACTTCCTTTCTTCGCCTGTGATTTAGCTGTTCTCGAACAAAAAACTGAGGTTTAGCCTGACATGAACTATACAGTTTTCAGGCTCCAGTCTATTTCATTGGTCAGTAAGGAAAAAAAGATGGCCCGAGACATGTTTACCAATCATAGATTTTTTTATTTATTCTTACAGATAAATCATAATTTTGTGCAACAATGTAGGATGGAGCATGATTAACAGATGGAGGATTGAAATTTTGTTACTGATTGACTGAATTTTAAATACAGTCTTATGTTTTACACTTTGTGATCAATTAGTCTTTTAAATGGAGAAAACCAGTATCTATGTACAGTTTCTATGTAATGAGTCCCTCCTCAGCAGGATAAACAAGGACTTGTTGACATATGTAACAGTGCTGATGTAAAAGGTATCGTCCCAGGGGTGTGACCAGGTTGTGTTATTGTGGCAAAAGGGAGGGAGTTTTAGTTTAAATTTACTTTAGCAACTTGACAACGCCAATTGGGAAACTCACCCAACAAGTTCAAGCAAGGATGCAGATTCAGAGTTTCACCAGGACAACAGACTGAGTTTCACATAAATAAAATGCTTTATTAGGAAAAAAACAAGTTACATTTAAAAACCACTCTGGCGATGTATTGCTTGATCCCTAAAAAAGGGGGGGGCATGAAACTTAATAGTCACCAACTTGTTCCAATTAAAATAAATAAAACATGCAATATGAGAAAGGAAGCAAACTCAATAATTAAAGGGATCCACAATTAGTTGTAACATTAGTCTATTTGATAAACATATATTTTAACTGTAAAATAAAGACTGTAAAAACACGCTGACGCTATATTGCCTTATATGTATTAGCTCAGCGCTATAGCGCGACAAACAAGCTAAACTGAGGTCCTCCATCCATATTTTCAGCTGCAGGCTGAGTTATTTTTGTGTTCCCCTCTCTGTCATGTAGATGGAGGACCTCAGTGACGAGAGGAGAATGTGTAGCGCTGAGCTAATACATATATATGGTGATAGCATCGGGGCTAATGCTAACAGGCTAAGCTGAGGTTCTTCTTCCATGAAGCAGCTCTGTTGTCCTCCATCCATATTTTCAGTTACAAATTGAGTCATTTCTACCTTCTCCTCTCTGTCAACGCTCTCTGGTTTCTTTTAAAAGAGTCGATCATCAGACATTGTCCCAGATTAACCTTCAGGGTGGATATAGCTCGCTCACACCAAGGACCTATCCATGTCATCATTTACCCAGAATGCTTTGCGTGTAAATAAAATGGCCCCATCCGTGTAACATATTTTTAAACTTTTAGTTTAAAAATTATAAAAACTGAACAACCTACAGTATTTTTACAGTCTTTATTTTACAGTTAAAATATATGTTTATCAAATAAAGTCTAATGTTACAACTAATCATGGATCCCTTTTAAACAAAAGAAATCAAACAAATTAATAGGTTAAATCAATAGTGCAAAAACACGAACAAAGTAAATCAAAAACTAAATTATGGACCAAATGGTGAAAGCCCAGCCAGACAGTTACCACAGAGTTGAAGCCGTTACTGTTCAGTCCTTTAGCTGCCAAATCATCAGCAGCAGCAGCGGTGAAGTAGTCTGATCACTTCAATAAAATCCAGACAAGAACAACAAGACAAGACAGCAGAGCGTCCTGGTGCATCAAAGCGTGTACGTTGAAGCATTACACACAGCAGTGCAGAGTCCGTGCCTACAAAACAGAGCATATTAACTCTAGATCCAGATAAACAAAATAAAGAAACACTAGATAGATCTAAGTGGCTGGCCTCTTACCAGGGATCAGAAGCGCAGCCTCCAGAGTTGAGAACGGATCAGCAGGACAACAACAGGGGGAAGCCATGCGCCACTAACAATCCCGACTGCAGCTGGAAACACCAGCAAAGCAGCAGAGCTACAGAACACATTCAGCAGGTGTAACACCCAAAAACCACAAAGCCCAAACTGCTAACACGTCAGAAATGGCACGTCCAGTTTCTGATGAGCGGATTCTGTGACCGGCTGACACACAGCAGGAGGAACAAAGTCTCACACACAGGAGCTGCAACCTGCCCAACTATAAAGCAGTCTGCCACGCCCATCAATCAGTGCTGCGCTCTGAGCAACACGGACCTCACTGAGGGAGGCCGTAGCAAAATCAGGAGCAGAGGCAAAATATGCCATTGTGTTTGTTTGCTGATAAGAATCAGGGTTACAGGCACTGGACAGTGGCTCTGAGCAATGAGATGGAGTTTTTAAATCTGAGGAATAAAGCTTTTTAGCAGGGAAAACACTTGTTTTTTCTGTGCAATTATTCTGGCTACCAATTTTTGATCACATTTTTCTTACAAATTGATGACCGTCGATGTGATTGGTTGAAAACCCGTTTGATTATTAGTTTTGACTGCTGTCAAAGAAGCCAAGAGTGCTCTGAGACGTCAACTGCTGAGACTGAGGACAACCAAGCTTTCCAGATGCCTCCTCTTTGCCAAAGAGTAATTCAGTCAGCTTCTCCAGAAGGTAGCAGTGTTGGAGAATAAGATCCATCATCTGGAAGAGATGGGTGCTTTATAAGAGACAACACGCGTAGAAAACAGCAAGAAGACCGAGAGGGGAAATCCGGATTCGGAATAGATTGGAACTGGGTTGAGGAGCAGGTCTTCCTGGAACTTTTTTGGCACGAAACCAAAGAATCTCTCCGGAAGAATTCAGTACTTGGATGAAATAGTATGGCCACAGCTGCAGAGAAACTCCCCAATGCTGAAATAAAACAGCAGTGGATTTTTGACAAAATAAATAACAGTGAATCAGTGGGAAACTCAGGAATTTCACCACAAAACTGATTTGCTCCACTTTTACAAGCCTGTTACTCAAATGACAGCTTATTTTCAGACAAAAGCGAGATAGCTCAGACCAGAGTCAGCCCAAAACCAAAACAAAATTTGGAAAGAAACTTCCACAAATCAAGAAAGGCTGATTGTAGCTGACTGAGCTGCGGATGAGATTAAATGGTTTTGGAACAAGGAAAAAAGCCAAGGTTCTTAGCTTTGCTGATAACATGGTGTCTGATCTCACAGAGAAGATACTGGAAATCACAGCTGAATATCCAGCTCTAACGATGCTTGTCCCCACAGCCTGATGTGGTGATGAGAAATTTAGGTCCTTAACAGGTGACTCAAAAACCTGTGAAGAGAACTCTGAGGTCTTTATAGTCTATTTCAACTTCTGGGGGGTAGAGAAAACACTTGTTTAAGGCACATGGACTCAGTTTGAATCAGTTTTTTGCTGAGTTGATGGCTTCAAACACGGCCTACTTCCTGAGCCAGATGAACAAAGTTCCTGTTGGAAACAGACAAGAGGAAATAAATCAGCTGATATCTCAGAAGCCTGAAGGACAACTGCAGCCGACTGAGACAAAGATGGAACTTGAAGTTCAGATGAGTGACACGGAATCCCACCAGAGGAAGCAAGAAATGAGTTCCCCCAAAATTCAACTGGGGAACAAATGAACCCCCTTCCTCTTCACCAAGACCCCAACTCTTCAACTAAAAATGAGAACTAAAACCTACTCCCTGAAGAAGACCATGATGTGGAGACAGCAGAGGACCCTGTGGAACAAGAAGAAATGCTTTGCTATATATATAGCGACAGAGGAGGAGATACAAGAGTGGAAAGACGATATTATGCACAGATAAAATGAAGAGTATTTTTTATATCTCGGAGGAATAAAAATGGAATTTCTGAGGTTGAAAGAAATATCCTGTTGCGAGGAACAGAAGTTAGAAACTTAAGAGAGAATTTCATTTTATTTCCTTATAATTTGTATTTACATAACTTATATTATGCCAAGAAATGGATATTAAAGAAAAATTTGGGACTGATTATCTGAATTTTAAATAGTCTTACACTTTGTGATCAGTCATTTATTTTAAAATGTGATGGACTTGCATGGTGTCCATGGTGTATCCCGCAAAATAAACATACAAAAAGTCAATGGGCCTCATGCAAGAACCGTTCGTACGCACAGATTTGTTCTGAAGTTGTGCGTACGAGTGATTTAGGAGAATTTGTGGCATTCACCAATGTTTTCGTATTCTACGATTTTTTTCAGATACGAACAAAATTCACGAGTGGTCCAGACCTGTCGTTTATTTTACAAGTAGTCAGTCTGCTGTTATCCAGATGGATTTTTCTCACAAATAACTTCATATTTCATTAAAAGATATTTTGAGTTGAAAATAAATCACACTCCATAATTATGTTGACAATAGGTTATTCTGTTTGAACTGGAATTAGATTTTAAATGTAACGAACAACATGAATTGGTTAGATTAAATTGGCTTTTAATGCTGTTGTATGACACTACAATATTAATATGAAGATCTTAAACTAAAAACCAACTTAAATTATGCATTAACTGAAGTTTGGAGACATTTTAAAATGCTTTTTTTTTTCAGAAACGCATCTGACACATGCGGCGCTCGGGAGGGGGGAGACGGCCAGGGGTGGGGGTGCACGACTGCTCCTCTGAATAAATGAAACCTATGTAACACAGTTGTTTACACTTAAAATTAAAAATATTTGACCAAAGAAAAACTGGAGCAGGACTAGAGAGAGATGAATATGATTTAGATTTTTATTTCTGTGACAGGAGACACGACATTAACAGCAGTCATCATTTCATTCATTGGCTTTAAAGCAGCTCCTTTAATTCCACAGCTGACGCTGCTAAAATTGACAGATATTTTTTCTGGATCTCTTCAATCTCTGAACTCGTAAATTTCTTCTTTTTTTACTTTACGATGTCATTAATTAATAATTATGCTAATCTCCTCTCCTTGTGCATGAGCAGTTGATACACATTCATCAGTTTACATTCCTCATTTACACTCTTTTCCTGAAGATAGAAGAGTTTGTTGAATCTGGCATGACATGTTCATATGAACCCTTCGTACGAACAAAAGTAAGACAAATTTAGGATAAGAATACAAACATGTTCTTGCATGAGGCCCAATGTTTCACAATTTACAGAGTTTGTAACTAAAGTTCTGCCCACTGGTGGAATGTTTGTTTGTTTTGTTCCAGGCGCTGTGAGAGGAACCCATGTATGCTGGAAGACAAAGCCTGCAGCCAGGCTCCAAATTCCATCTCTTTCCACTTCCTGGCTGTGGTTTCCAACATGTCCGCCCCTCGAGTCCTCTTTCGGGTGTCTGCAGCTCGGGTGCTGGGTGACACGCTGCGGTTTGGACTGGCAGGTGGTCGCGGCCGGGGACACTTCAGCGTGCAGCGCACTGGTCAGCAGACCGGCACCCTTCTCCTGGTGACACCCATCAAAGGTCCAGCTACGCTGGAGGCTGAGGTGGAGATGAGCGAGCTGGAGCGCAGCAACCTGCTGGGCCGCTACCTGACCAAGGTGACCCTGTTCGTCTCTCCTTACATGTTCTAGGAGAGAAGATGAAGAGGTGTTCACCACGTTGGTCACATCACTCAGTCTGATGAATAGATTCATTTCATATCCAGTTAACTTGTATGAAGTCTTCATCTATGTTGTGTTATTTTGTTAAAGGTTTCAGCGCTTTTCTTTAAACTACTTATTGCAAAGTATGTGATGAAAGATTTGCCCAATTATTTGTCAGATTACTTTTTTTTCCCAAATATGGGCGACTCATTCTGGTCAGTTCACTGTGAATCCTGTTTCTCATGTCAAATTACAACAGACTTGAAAAGTCTTAGAGCCTCAGAAATTGAAGTGACAAACAAGCTCAACAGCCTATTTCAGGAGCTCAAAGATGAACTTTCACTAAAAGGTTTAAAATCTGGTCTACATGTAGAACTCACCAAGATGCACCAAAGGTTTCTTGGAGGCATGACTTAAACCCAACAGGAAGTCTATATTGGATCAAATGGGACATTTTGTAGCTTTAGAAATAAACTTGATTTTATTAGATTTTTTAAAGTATATTTTAAACACTATACTGTATTTACTATATGTAATACTATATAATTCAGAGCTTATATTTACTGTATTTATGAACAATTAGTCATAAAACTAAGCAAAACTGCTGTTTTAAAAGTCAGTGAGAACAATTGTGTTTTAAGACGACTTTAAACCAACAAGAACTAAAAACCATCTATGAAGAAGCAGCCGGTTCCACAGTTTAGGATCTACAGCTTTAGACTCGATCACCTCTGTGGGCCAGCCTGGACCTTAGGACAACTTTAGACCTGATCACCTCTGTGGTATGGTTGGGCAATATTAGCAAAAAAACTGATCATGATTAATTGGTGTATTTAGCTGATAATGATTAATTTGATGATTAATCCCCTGGAGTCCCTGAACACCCTCATGTCCTAGTCACATGACCAGTTTAGAGGGAAAGATTTGCTCATCATAAAAATCTGTTCCAAATTGTGTCAAAACCACAGGCTTCAGGCTATACATCAATTTTTAAATTGTTGATAGATAAATAAATTACAGAACTTTTTTTTTAAATGTTCGTCATATTTGAAGCGGAGAGGAGCACCAACCGGACTGACTCACCAGTCAGTCCGGTCGGCATTAATCGTATTAATCATCAAGTGCCAAAAAATTATTGTTTTTCTGATGATTAATTGCACATGATACGATTATGCCCAACCCTATTCTGTGGACCAGCCTGGACCTTGTGCCCACCAAAAGCAAATGATCATGAGATCTAAGGCATCTTGAGGAAGCAGGAAGTCAGACAGTTCTACAGGAGTCGGTCCATTCAGGGCCTTATAAGTTGTCAGTAAAACTTTTACAGACTGACAGGGAACCAGTGAAGGGAAGCAGCACCTTCTAAAACCTCAAAGCTGAGTTTCCTGAAACTTGGATGGATCCATCCATCCATCATCTATACCCGCTTCTTCCTTTCAGGCTCGCAGGTGCCCAGATCCAGCAGTCACAGTGTGAGGGGTGGGGTACACCCTGGACAGGTCTCAAGTCCATCACAGAGACACACAGAGACAAAAAACCATTCACTCTCTCACTTAGGGACAATTTAGAGTTATCAGTTAACCTAACAGTCATGTTTTTGGTCTGTGGGAGGAAGCCGGAGTACCTGGAGAGAACCCACGCGTGCACGGAGAGAACATGCAAACTCTACCCAGAAAGGTCCCCGGGCCAGGGTTTGAACTGGTGACCTTCTTGCTGAGAGGCAACAGAGTCACTGTGCGCCAACTTGGAGAAAATATAATGTTAATTATTATATTATTGAGAAAATATAATTAACATTATATTTTCTCAGACAAAAACAGAAAAAATGATGTCATCTATCCCCTCAGTAGCAGATAAATTGAATCTCATTGGAGTTTGAGAGACACGACTGTGAATATTTGACATTCAAAGATGAAGCATAAGTACAAGAAGTGTGTGAATTTATTTTGTGATTTTGCTTTGAATTTCATTGAATGCAGATGGATTGATTGACTGTAACAACTATTTTTCTCTGCATTTTAGATTAATAAACTATCTTAAAAAAATTAAAATGCAAAACATTTAGCTGACTGCAGTGTAGGGAGTGAACCATTCCTTCAGCCATTTTGTATTTTAAACCCATACACAGAACGTCAGATCATGGAGCAGAGTTATACTGTATCAGCTACTCTTTGATCCAGTACATGAGCACAAAATGGGATTTCACTAATTTAACTCATTAAAAACATCAACATCATAAGACAAATGATTTAAATCAAGAGGTCTTTGTGATGAAAAGTAAAGAAATCCATCATCCAGAGGTTTAGGGATTCATTTATCCTTCAGATACATTCATTCTGAGCAGGAAGTTCCACTTGGAAATATCATTTTCTGTCTTTTACTGGATCAGGTTTAGATTTTTCATACTTTAGACTTACTGTATGTGCTCCTTCACTTCTGATTACGTTGTTAATGTTTCTCCCTTTAGGACACAATAAATAATGTATGACAAGAAATGCCCAGGTTTCATTTATGCAAAGAAAGGTTCTGAATCATTAATTCTGCTCCGTTCACTCACCAAATAATCTTGTTTTGTACCAGCGTTAACATTTTACACCTGTGCACTTTAACAAATGCATGAACCATTAAAGGATCTAGGTTTTATTTTATAGCCAGAATAATTGTGTGTGCTTGAATAAACATTTACAATCAATAAAGACTAAACAGGAAGTGCTCACGTGTTGTTAAAACAAAAAAGGAAAGCGAAGCTCTCGATTTACCGGTCGATCTACGTTCCTACCCTCATCTATGGTCATGAGCTTTGGGTCATGACCATAGATGAGGGTAGGAACGTAGATC